TAAACGAATCAAAACTACGATGGAAAACTGTCGACAGTTGTCAAGGTACAAATTAGGTGTTAATAAGAATGAGGATTACTTCAGACTTCGAGTTGTATCGAATGATCACTTTTTTGGAAGGAAATGTAAGAGCCCTTTCCAACACCAAATATTCATTCATTCAGGTCATCAAGATGCATTATGATAAGTGATTTGAAATTTCCACAATAGTGGTACCCCTTGTGCTTAACGACATTGAAAAATTAAGATATATAGGTCAACTCATGGTACTAGGACCATCCAGAAAGAGACCTGCAACTTTGCCATATCCCTGCACAGTAAGCAAAGTGAATGTCTTATAGGACGTTACAATCTACGAATGCAAAGTTCAATGGAAAAATATATAACAGTATGCAACGTGATCAGAATGGATATCAGTCTAGAAAAGTGATAAAAGTCATATGTACACAAGTTGCTTCCACGGCATATCCAGGGAAGGAAGACCAACTGGATGTGAACTGTCTAATCCAAAAATGGTAATAGTGTTTCTCAAAGACTTTCAATTCAGAAAATCTACCTTGTGTAGTTTCTGTACTGACCTTACAGCCTATGCCAGTTAAATGTGCTCATAGCATTTACCCACTTTGGTGTCTTTATATATTTCTCAAGGATGACATGGATAGAGATATATTTTCAGATCTTGTATTTACATCCTCTAACAGCATCACCAAGTTTAAGTTTAGAAATGCCTGAAGATTAAACTCTCCCTACTTTCACTTGGGATAACCCATGACATGTGTGGCCTCTCTGCTCTGAGAGATGTCATTATTGTTTCTATGTTAATAATGCCATATTCTTCTTAGTCTAGAAAAGAATGTCTGGAAATATCAACAAAAGAAACAGAAAAATCCAAGTCTCTCTTGTCACTGTTCAATTAGGTAAATATTGATTTTGCTTTGTTTAACACTGTGTTCAGTGTCTTTTCAGGTAAGTAAAATTTTCTACTTTATAACTGTAATTCACTTCATTTACATTCCTCCTGTTAATTGCAGTTACTATGTTTTTTTTTCTTTGAAGTTAATCACAAAGCTACACAATGAGCTATCTGTGCTCTGCCCACCATGGGTATCAAAACCTGGTTTCTTGCATTGTAAGTCTGCAGATATATTGCTGTACCGTTGAGGGGCTTGCATTTACTATACTTATCTGTAGGATAAACCAGTGAACCTGAGAATACCACTTTCAAATTCAATAAAAAAGCATAAAAACTTACAATAAAACATTTTACAAACACACATAAGAAAAAGCTAGTTTATATCTAATTATATTACACAAACCATGAAACATTTTTGCCTTGCTTTTTTATTGTTTACTAAAACTCTTAGCTTAGATTTATTGCCAACAGCTTCAACTCAGAACTCAAACAATCTCAGTTTTCCTTCACTGCTTTAACACATGCTAATTTCTGGGAAATTGTAAATTTTAAGTAATCTACTACTTCATATTTATAAAGAAAATTAAAAGCAAATGTGAGCTGTTTCTAGTGAGAAACTATTTATTACTGAAATATGTCTATGCTATCAAAATTCTTTAGGCTGTAACACTGCTTAGCAGGTCATTACTCAGTTAATAGTCCTATATATTTGGAAACATGATTACAAAGTGAGGGTCTACAGTGGTAAATAAGGGAGCATGAAATATCTTAACTGTGTTTAATCAACCAGTATACAGTACATTCATTTATAATTAACTTCAAAATTTAATATTAATAATAACCTTCAACTTTTAAGAAAGAAAAAAAAAGGAATATTTTATCAGATAATTTATCACAAACATGAAATTGCTTAATCTGTAATTTTATATTATCTCTGAAGTTGCACATAAACACATGGAAACATGTTCATTGTTAGGTAATGTTTTAACAAGTCTAGATTGTATTAAGTAATAATAATACACAATTGATAATTATATGTATTTTGCTATAAGCATTGCTATTGTCTCATGATCTTATATACAAAACAATTCACAATTTAGGTATTAAAGTCTTTCAAGTCAAAAGAACTTAGTGATGAAATTAACATACAAGTTCAAATATTCTGGAAAACTTTAATTAAAATATTTCTTTTCAACTTTAGTGTGTCGACTTATGTAGGCACAAGTAACATGCTGTCTGAATCATCAACGTACGTCAAACATTGTCTTTATTTGTATGTGGCTAATACAAGTTTTGGTCCTATCAATCATAAGGTTTAATAAGTAACTTCTAGTTTTGAGTAAACAATGGGCATACTTTTTTTAGAAATTATTATGTGGTCTTTCAAAGCAAAAGCATAAGAAAAGCAAAAACAAGACAACTGTACATCAAGAGAGTAGTGTATATATTCTTATGGTATTAATAAAGAAACTTCTCAAACACTATGTACTATTTTCTTTCAGAAAAAATAAAAAAGGGGAAGTTATATCCCAAAAAATACACATCTTGTCCATAAATAGGTAAAAAATAAACTTTCCAGGGTGTGTTCCTGCTCTGTAATAAATTGGTATTTTTTCTATTCTTGCATTAAACAAGAAATCAGCATCTTTATTATTACAAAAAAATACAAACATTTTACTTAAAGAGTTCTCAAATGATTTTGTCAACATAAAAAAATCATCAGTTCATAATTAAACTGTAAAAAACATCAGAAAACATTCAACAGCTTAATTTTATATCTTTACAACAATTGAGTTACGGTTTCAAATTTTCTTTCTTACCAAATCATGTTCCACTTAATCTTTAGAGCTGCAATATTGCCATTTAATATTTAAATTACACAATCAGAATAGCCATTCAAAGTGCTTTCTCATAAATATAACACTTGGTGCATTGTATATGAAAGGTCATCCATATCTTGATAAACTTAATCTTTCAATGAATATTCCCACTCCTGGCCTGAACAAGAAAAACATGAGCACTGACTTTAAACAATATTGAACATTATAATCACATTACATACTTGCCTGTATTTTCTTCTTATTATTATTAATTAGTAAAAACTAAACCTTCCAGTAATTTGTAAGACAAAGACTAAAAGCATATGAGATTAAAAATACCGAATGTTTAATTCAAACTCATCTGATGTTCAGCAAGTAAAAATATTTAGATGTTTTAACCAAATATCTAATCTTTTGAAAACTAATGTATATTATGTCTTAACTAACAGCACTACCACTCATACCAGAGTGTATATGTATTACTACTTTTTCAATCAATTTTTCATAAAGTTAATGACATTTTTTTGTTCAGTGCAAACTATTTCAAATAAAAAAAAAATTCTGTTTGGTCTATTCTATGAAAAATATGTAAACCTAACTCACAAAGTACTTATAATAAGAAGAAATAGCATAATTCTAATGGTATCAGTAAAAAACATAGGATTTTCAAATTTATTAATTTCTGTAAAAAATAAAGACATATCTAGAACAAGCTTACATAAAGGATTACAAAACAGATTATTTTCTTAGATGTATATCTTTTCACTTTTTTCTTTTCTTTTTAGAGGAGTCATGCTTTTTTGTCTGTTCTATGACTCTGCGTTGATGACTAAGTTGTGGGAACAGATTTTTTGATGCTTTCAGAGCATTGTGAGCTGCTGCCATCTCAGCTTGTTGGATACTATGACCTGTTCCTGTTGCAAGTCGTTGGCCTCTAAAGTAAACAGCAACAGTATAAACTCTTGTGTTAGTTGGGCCTTTACACTCTACAACTTTATATACAGGAATATCTGGCTCTCCACCATCCATGGACCTGAGGGTTAAACAGCATTGCTGAAGTTTAGACTTAGGATCATTCCAGTCCTGATTCATGATAAAATCCTGAAGACGTGGAAAAAAACAAACCTGGCAAAAATAACGACAATACTTGAGTCCTTTGTCAACATACAGAGCACCAAGGAAAGCCTCTAAAAGATCGGCTCGGTCTTTAGTTTTAAGTTCACCTTTGGGATATGGATAAATAGCAAATTCTACCATGCCAAGGTCATCACACACTACTGACTGAGTCCGATTATTTACTAAGGAACTCCGAAGCAAAGAGAGATGCCCTTCATGATGTTCTGGAAAGTACTTGTACAAGTATTCTGAGGCAACTAATTGCAAAACGGTGTCTCCTAAGAACTCCAATCGCTGGTTGGATCCAAGAGTTAGATTGTTATATCCAACACTACGATGAGTAAAAGCTCTAGCAAGTAAACGGATGTGTGTGAATTCAATTCCTGTAGATTTTTCAAACTCATGCAGTTTTGTCAGAAGAGGTACAGACTCTATCCACTGACGGTCCCCTTCAGGTTCCTGCTCCTGTAATGGATGAGGTGGATAGTTTACCCACACATCCATCAATTCAGGCTCACTGAAAAGAGTTCGAGAAAAGACTCTGTCAGCCACTTCAATATTTCCATCAAGAAATAATGCTCCCATTAAAGCTTCAAAGCAATTAGCCATAGCATGTCTTAACTCAAGATCATGGCAGAGATCTGATCCATGTGCATAAAGCATGTACTTCTCCAGTTGAAGCTTCTTGGCCAAAACAGCAAGATGCTGGTTCTGAACAACAGCAGCCCTGTATGTAGCAAGTCCACCTTCTTCCAGATCAGGAAACATGTAAAATAGATGAATGCTAGAAAGAAACTCAACAACAGCATCTCCCAAAAATTCGAGCCTTTCATTATGGTTTATGTTGGATGTTGTTTCTTCACGTTGACCAAAACGAGACATAATATTGATTAATGTGTTTATTCCTCGTTTTCTAGTATTCACATAATGAATTCTTCTATCACCATATTCTGGTTGTCGGATGCCGCAATTTGTCAGGGAATTTCTTGCATGATCAGGGTTAGTGCCAAAATTTTCGCGATATGACGGATGAGTGAGTGCCAGCTGCAGAAGAAAACGGTTCTTAAATTGATGACCTATCTCTTTTTCCAGTAAACTTAAGGACAAATGGAATCGGAGATGACACACAAGCACTGGGAGTAACATTGCATGTTGCACAATATCACACATAATACCAGTTCTATAAAAGTTTTTGCTACTGACAACAACAGTAACATCTCTTTTTAAGTCACTTTTCATTCTCATCTCTTGCAATCTCATTTCTTTCTGAAGGAGTTTATGACGATCAGCATATGATATCTTGGGCTTATTAGCTAATAAATGGCGAAATTTAACATAATCTCGCCAAGCTTTTTGATAAGTGGGATTACCGGCATAACACAGTTGAGGTGGTCTCATACCAAAATGAACAACTTCAGGAAAAATACCTTTATCTGGGTCACATATTTCTCGATCAAGCTGATCAACACGAAGAGAACATGGTTTTTTGCCTGGACAAGTTACAATCATCCCTTTTACTTCATCTGCAATATCTTGCCAATCATACTGGCTAATCTGAACTATTTTTTTAAGTTGTGTTTCTTCAACCAATGGTATGTTGCTTGTCAAAAGATATTGCAAAACCACATTCATTGACAATAGTTCCTTTCCACTATCTTCAAGAGCACGTGCAAAGCGGGGCATAAAATGAAATCTGGGACATCCCTCAGGATCACCATGTGCTTTCCAATTTAAGTCCACTAACTCCAGAATCCCTTCGAAAAGGTACTTTGAAAAAAGTTCTAATCCTTCTACAGTAAAATGTTCTGGAAATTTTTCTTCTAAATATACCACAGTGTACTCAATATTAAAACGTATAACTCTGCAAGTTGGTATATTTCCCAAAGGTTCGTGAGAAAACATAGAAAATCCTTCAAATATAAATTCATGACCATCATGTTTAATTAATGTGGGACACTTTGTTAAAAAGTTAGTGTGAGGAGACATTGTGACTAAATAGTGATGAAGTCTAGATGAATTGTTGCTATTTGGATCACAAGATGGAAGAAGAGCCTCTCCAGAATAAATTCCATGTCGAATACCTGAACGTTGAGCCTTTGCACTACATCGGCACAATGGTCCATCATTCATTTCTCCTGGGTCATTGTACCAAAGCTCTTCATGAAGTCGATCAGGATGAAGTTTCTTTCTTTCAAGTTCCTTCAAGGGATTCTCTTCTTCTTCTTCTTCTTCACTTTCACACTCTTCATTGCTGCTACTGCTGCAAGATTCTGATTTTTCTTTAGTCAGATGATAAATTTTTGTTTTCCTTGGTGGAGCTTCATATTTTGGTTTATTAACCTTGATCCTGTCTGTTCGTTCTACAAGTTCTGATCGAAAAGTATTATGAAGAATTTTCAACTTTTCAGTTCCATACATACAAGAACTCTGAATGTTTCTCTGATAGTATAAATCAGCTGGTGAGCACCTAAGCCATGATGTTTGATCTATTTCACTTTCGTCACCAGTTCTTTCATCATTTGAAAACTCATTACTGGAACATGAATACTCTTGGTCTTTTGTATCATCATTTTTGATTTTTGGTCTTTTCAATGGGTTAAAGTATTTGTAATCTTTACTATGGTGTTTAATTTCTGGACTTAAACTTTTCACTCTTTTCTCACTTACACTTCTTCTTTTTGTCATTAAATGAGTTTTACCATTTGATTTCCAACTTTCAGAATTAGTATCACTATAATCTAATGCTTTATTTTCCCAACCATGGTCTCTTCCTGATTGGCGATAACAATAACTTTGTGTTGCTAATGTTCTCTTTGATCTGTTGTACTCTCGCCCAGATGAATGACTTCTGTCAGACCTTCTGTCTTTACTACTTCTTTCATATGTTGTTCTACTGTGTTTGACATCATGCAATTCCTTAGTATGACTTCTACTAGAATACCTCCTTTTTTCCCTTTGCTTATAAGATGAGCTTTCATCACTTCTATTAAACTGACTTTCATATTTAGTATAATGTTTCAAGTCCTCTCTTCTTTTTCTATTTTCTGAATCTAAGTTCCTAAGGGATTTACTGTTATCATGTTGTGCAGTTTTGATAAAGGTGTTTGTGTCACTTCTGTGCAACGTTTTAGCTTCTGATGGTTCACTATACTTCTGGCTGTTAGATGTGCTACTGCTTGATGAAGTTACCCAAGTTGGCTCTCTTTGTCTTACAGGATTTCTGTTAAAAGGGCGAGAATGACTGTTACTTATAAGTTGTACTCCTTTAAAGTCAGCCATTTCCGCTTCCTGATTACAGTCTTTATAAGATGAAGGATATGGCGAGCAACTTTGATTTAATATCCTAGATGAAGCATTTACCTGCCTATTGTTCTCATTAACAGACCACGAAACTCTACACTCGTAAGACTGTGAAAGGTGGTCGGTATTTTCCTGAACATATTTATCAGATTCTACTGACCAAGGTGGTGGAAGTACATTCAGTGACTGACAGCTGTAATGACCAGGAACTGAAGAAAAATCTTGAGATTTTACAGCCGGAGTCTGTGGAGATACATTCTGGCCTGTAAATTCTATATGCTGGGTAGAAACTGGTCTCTGGTAAGACTGCACACTTGACAGAAGATTTGTATTACTTACTTTCTGTGAGTTATAAAAGTAACTTGAGTGATATGTTTTCGATTGCATCCACCGAGTTCCAACTACAGGAATCTGCTGACCATAATCATGAATAATCTCATCATGGCTCTGGAAAGGTGGCAATGCTGGGGATGGAAAACCTGACTGATTGGATACAGCTCCTGGGTTTAACGTGTATTGGTCTGGGTTAAGTGGTGGCCTTGAAAGTGTTGGCTGAACTTGAGGAGATGCCGAAGGAAAGAAGTTTCTGATACTTCCGGGGTTTCTTGGTGGTCCGGCACAAACTACATTGCATCTTGGTTGATACTGGTGTCCACCACCATATCTTGGTGTTGTCATGTTTATTTTAAATATCATGCAAAAATTTCAGTAAAGACACATAAACTTTACACAGCAGATTTTACAGTGTTACCAAATCAACATCATCAGACTTAAGCTTAGGATCACAATCTCCTGTAAAATAAAAACAAATCAGATATTAATATATATTTCAGTATTTCATTAAAACTGCTACCTTTTTCAGAACATAAATTTCAATAATTTAACAAAATTATTTACAGTGTATTTTTGTACAAAAATATTAACAACCTTTTTATAAAATTGTACAATAAATAAACAAAAACGGTTTCCTAATTCACTGTGAGAAACAGCTAAGTTTCTTTAAATTAGTTTATCTAATGCCTATTACATACAGTATATATATATATATATACACACACACACACACAAACTTACTTTCCTAACAGTTTTTTTAGGTTTATATATTTTACCAAAAGTTACTTAGTATATTGAAAATGTTAAAGTACATGAAAAAAACTGTTGTTGTCTTTTCTGGCTACAAAATTTGCTTATTATGCATAAAATATGCATGCTTATTACTCTTCTCCCACATTAAAAATGACAAATGTTTTGGTTTATCCTTAACATTATGCACTTCTAGAAAAGGTCTACAAAATTCCATTTACTAAATTTACCTATTTTTGATTCTAGAACCACATGGCAATTGAAATATTTTCAGTACCAATGATCTCTTCTCGGTCCAGCAATAATAATAATAAAAAACTTGTGCAAGTATTTGTTTTCTTAGTGATAAGAATGTGAAGAGGAAAGTTCAGTGTACATACATTTGCAAAGTTAAATGTCAAAAATGTAAAATCTACTTGAAAATGGTTTTCAAAAAAAAACAACCAAATATCATCATTAAAAGAAGCAAAGCCAAAATATAATAAATATGTCAAGTGCAGTAGCAAATACTAAATTAAGCATTTGCAATCCAAGCACTAAGTAATCACAGCCAGCAGATCCTTAATCTCTTTCTCAAATTCTATGATATATATATATATATATATTATACTAATCCTAACAGCATTAAGCAATGAATTCAACTGGCATCTACTTCACTGCACCAATTACCTACTTCATTTTTGTTATAAATAAATATTTTTGAAAACATTCCACATCAGTGGTGAATGAGGAAGAATATCAATTAATAAAATTAAAAAATATCCTCTCCTTCATCTGGTTACTCTCATGCCAGAGTTCATCTCATAACTCAGAGCTCAGAATGATTGTCATTCAGTGTCATTGCTGATTCTGGTTCTTTCTCACATGTTATCTCCTTACAATCTCGTTTAATCTACTTGACACTGTGTGCACCAGTAGCATTATCCTGACCTGCATATTACAGTGGTGGTAAAATTTATTTCATCACCAAATTTTTTCACACTTTTGTTTCATGGGTGATACAGTAATGTCTAATTATTTATTACATCAGCAATTTTATAGGATGTCTGGGTGTTACAGCAGATATTTTATGACTATAAATAGCAGTTGTTACTGAGAGTCAGTTTAGAAGCCTATCTGCTACAATGTGCATGTGATGCTACCATGGCCAAGGGTTGTAAGTTAACTTCATGGAAAAAAACAAGTCATTGTTTCTTTGAGCAAAGAGGGACTTTTGAGAAGGCAGATTGCTAGAAGAATTAAATCTATCCAGTCTATTTTGAGCTGCTGGGTGCAGAGATATAAAAAGTCTGGCTGTATGGAGCAGCTGAAGGGAAGAGGTTGGAAGAAAGCTTCCATAGCAGCTGATGATCACGTTCTAAAACACATGATCCTGCAGAATTATTGACTATCATCCATAGATCTTAAAAGAGCATGGCAGAAAACTTCATGGGTCACTGTCACCTTGTGCACCATCCAGTCTCACCTGTGTTCAACCAGTCTCCCAGCCAAGAAAGATACCCCTTCTCACCAACAAGATGAGGAAAATGAGGTTCAACTGAGCCAAAAAGCATGCTGATTGGACTGAAGTAATGTGGAGCAAAGTAATCTTCTCGGACAAATCAAAGTTCAACTTGAACAGGTCTGATGGGAAGCACTTTGTATGACATCAATGTGGAGAAGAGTTTTACTCAGCGTGTTTGAATGCCACTATGAAGCATCCACAGGGTCAGACAATATGAGGGAAACATCTCTGGTCAGGATGTAGGATGTCTGCATTTTGTAAAATGCACTGGCAATGCTGACAAGCACATCTAGATCCTCAAGTCCTGGATAAAATCAACAATTCAGGATCACTTCAGTGTAACTTACCAGTAAACATTCCAGGATGACTCTGCTCCATGCCACAGGACTAAAAGGGTTAGTAATACTCATGAATTCTATGTAGTACACATGAAATAAAGAAGAAATTTCACTGTATGTGTATTGAAAAAAACATCTTAGATTTTATTTCATTGCTTCAGATGAAGGACTATCTTCGAAAAGAGAGGATCAAGACATTAAGTTGGCTAGGCAACAGCCTAGATTTCAACCCTATCAAAAAACTGCTGGAAGGTAATTGGTAACAAGTGCAGGAGAAGAAATTGAGAAGCACTTGGGAACTGCAAAACTCACCTTTGCCTACATTCAGTCCCTCGTACACTCTATGCCACAATGATGTCAAGCTGTTATAAAGGCCAAATATTAAAACAAGAAATGGACTCTGTGACCAATTTTATCAATTACATTATAGAGGCATTATCTTTAAATCTAGGTTTTCTCACTTAAAGAACATTTTTGTATTTGTTGATCATCTGCTGAAATACATTTGCGACTACTGTTTTGTCAATAAAAATGTATATATGTGTTTGAATGACTGAAATATAAGTCAGCATACACCATACAATGTCCATAACACTAGTTCTCACACTTCCACAATGCACAATCTCATAAAGAATTACAGGAACCAAGATAAATGTGAAAACAATTAGGTGATGCAATAATTTATTACACCATTGTACTTCTGTATATGCATTGCTTCCTTTTAAAAGACTAGCTAAATAATAATGTGAAATCCATCCAAAAATAATTTAGTGAAAAATAAAGACAAAATTTTGCTATAGGTCAAACAGTAGGTGATATCTTATAAACATAGTAAAATAGCATAGCAACTTGGCATTACTCACATTGCATCATTTTATTCATGGCTCCCAATTCATCTAAGAACCATCACTGAGTAACACTAAATAAAATAATAGCTTCCCAGCACTTTAATGATATAGCTACAGCATTCATAGTTGTGTCTCAATTCCACTTGCATGCCTGTAACATACTTTTTTAAAGTTTAACAGGGCTGTAATGAAGGGTAGATTTAGATGTTTGAAGGTTCGAAGCACATTACCAAACAAATTTGCAAACATTCTATAGCACTAAGTTGCTAACTTATTGATGATATTACCATAACTACTAGTTTATATTCAAGTGAAAACCCTTTTATATTACAGATAATACAGAGAAATAAAACATTCACCATGTTTATATATAGAAAAATGAATTTCATGCTACGTGTGATACTCACATATGTATCTACATAAAGCAAGCTTGCATTGCAAGAGCATTCTATTGTAGCTAGTTAAAAGAAATGCAGTTGACTTAAGCAAAACAAATCCTTATTTAATGGTCACCATTTTCAGCAAGTTAACAGTCTAGCCTTTTTGATATAAAATTGTCAATTAATTAAACCTAATAAACATAATAAAAAAACAGCAAAACAGAACAGAGGAACAAAAAGCAGTTCAAACATATAGCAACTATGGACCTTCATCCATAACAAAAAGTTATGAAAGAGTGTGTTACTATTAGTATTGGCCACATTTTTTTGGTTAACAACACTGCAGATTAATTAAACAAATGCCTTGAATAAAGATGTTAGCCAAATGAATACATAATAATAATGAAAATAATTATAAACAAACAACAAAATAGAACAGAGTAACATGTTAAGAAATTAACACACACCTTCAACTATAACAAAAAATTAAAGAACAGACTATGTGGGTGTGAAAAACATCCAATTTTTAATTAAAATAGCATTTCTCTAACATCATGTACACTAGATCAGGCCTATATGCAGAATATTTGAAAGGGGGTTTCTAATTTCTGAAATCAAAAGCCAAAACATATTGCGCAAAGCACAGTCAGCATGTAAGGCATGCTAATACAATGGGGGACTGGTGGGGCATGTGACTATTTCAAGCCAAAAAATACTAATGCCTCATCAGAAGAATGTAGACTATGCAGAAAATGTTAAACACCATGAGCAGATACGCTATAATTATATAAGCATAATTTTTTAACATCACAAAAATAGGGGGGTTCAGCCAAACCCCCTACATACACGCATGTAGATATTCAGTACATTTTATTGATGCAATGCAGCCAATAAACATATCCCATATGCTTCACCATAATGCTCTGTTCAATGTACAGAAGGAGTTGCTATATATAACATTTTGGTGTGCGTGTGTTTTTTAAAACAACAAATCAAAAGAATAAATTTTTCCATGCGACCGAAATTTAAAGTGAGATTACTATTCAAACATTGTCAAATGTTTTCTGTAAATGAGAAAGAAAAAAAAAATCTGACACTGATTGAATGGTACGTGATGAACCTTCAAATGTTTAGAATTTTCTTCAAATTTTTGGTTAGCAAACAAACATAACTCGAAAGTTTAATACATAGCCTAGTCTACCATCCCTCTCAATAGAAACAGGTCATTCACCTTCATAAAACCACTATATGATATGATTATGAATAATGAAGTACATAGTAAAACAAATGTATTAGGTTTCAGTCAACACATTACTCTCCCCTCCTTCTCCATCAGACAGTGTTCTTAAACCTTAGTGTACATGTAACAAAAACTGCAATGTTCTTTAAACAGAATACAGAATAAGGAGTGCAGTGGCTATAATTCCTTCTCTAAGTAACCCATGGGTGATATTTAAGTTGTAAAGCACAGTCACAAGCAAATGATTAGAATTAACTTGTAAAGAATTCAGATAAATACAAAAAAATTTTATTAAAACATTCTCAAGAGGAAATTTATATTCAGAGACCCTGCAGAAACTCCATGGGCGAATTATACTCATATACACATGTCAAGCAATTCTTCACCATCTAAAGCCAC